CTCCACCTGAAACGAATGCAGAAGATGCCCGCCGCAGGCGCCGAAAAATGCGGTTTGTACCCTGAACGCGGTTTGGGTCGCGGGTTGGTCGCGAGTTGGTCACGGGGTGGGTCGCGGGTTCTCCACCTGGAAGGGATGCCCAACAAAAAAACAAAACAAAAAAAAAAAAAAAAAAAACGCCGCAGGCGCCGAAAATGATGGTTTGTACCTTGAACGTGGTTTGGGTCGAAGGTGGGTCGCGGGTGGGTCGCGGGGTGGGTCGCGGGTGTGGGTCGCGGGTGGGTCGCGGGTGGGTCGCGGGTGGGTCGCGGGGTGGGCCGCTGGCGGGTCGCGGGGTGGGTCGCGGGGTGGGTCGCGGGGTGGGTCGCGGGGTGGGTCGCGGGGTCGGTCGCGGGGTGGGTCGCGGGTGGGCCGCGGGTGGGTCGCGGGCGGGTCGCGGGGTGGGTCGCGGTTTGGGTCGCGGGGTGGGTCGCGAGGCGGGTTGCGGGTGGAACGACGACAACAAGACAACAACAAACAACAACAACAACAACAACAACAACAACAACAACAACAGCAACAACAACAACAACAACAACGAGAATCCGCACCGCGGAATTCCACTTCAGCCACGCACCCAGGGACAATGAATGACCGTTCGGCCCCCTCACTCTAATATGGGGGTCCTCGGTGGCGTAATTCCCCGCGCTCTGCAGCCGAGCCATCTTGCACGTCGCCGAGTTGTGCGTCGTGAGACCCGCCGTCCCCCGTAGCATTATGCGTATAAATATATGGACAAGAAGGGAGATAAAGAGAGAGAGAGAGAGAGAGAAGGACATAACGAGAGAGAGAGAGAGAGAGAGAGTGAGAGAGAGAAAGAGAGACACAAACAACAAATAACAGAGAGAGAGAGAGAGAGAATAAACAAAAAATAGCCGGACGAAGGACCCAACCATATGCAGGTCTCAGGACCGCAATTGTGATTCACATTTTCGGCGGTGATCCCTATGAGGCAAAGAACCGTGCTAGGGGAGTGCCGAAATGAATGGCGTGGTACACAACGCGAGCGAAAAAGGATTGATCTGAGTACGTCGGGATACTGAACGCGGGTGAATCTTAGCGCGAGTGCGTCTGACTGCGAATGAATCTGCGTGCGAGCGAGTCTACGTGCATGAATACGAGTCTGACAAAGCATGGTGTACGTGTATATGAATGTCGATAGTTTGAGAACGATTGCCTCTGAGTGCTCGTGGCGCTGGTCGTGGCCGCCGCAAGGAGTTTCCCCGGGACTCCCCGACGGCATCGCCCGCGCGCCGCGACGCCAATGTCGGCGCGCCCCCCCGCCGAGGATCGCGCCCGCTTCCTCCCCATCTTTTACTTCCTCTTTGCCCGCGCACTCAAAAGTCCAAGGCTGCGGGCGCAGCGCAGCGCGGAGTCCCCGCGACGCGCGCATGTCGCCCCGGAGAGGTCCCAGCGACGCGCGCGGGTCGTCCGTTGCGCGGAGCAAAGAGAGCTAGCTGGCTGGCTGATAGCGGGCAAAGGTTCTTGCCGCTGGGCAGAGCGACGACGGGCGAACGAGGCGCGGATTTGCGGCGGCCTCCGACGGAGGTGCACTGGGTGGGGGAGACGCACGCGGACTGCGCCACGGGGACCTTCGGTGGAGTTCCCTATGGGGCCACGCGCTTTACTGTGTCGGGGAGACGCATGCGGACTGCGCCACGGGGGCCTTCGGCGGAGCTCCCTATGGGGCCACGAAGCTCTGTAATGGGTGAGGGAGACGCGTGCGGACTGCGCCACGGGGACCTTCGGTGGGGCCCTGCACTGGGTTGGGGGGGCGCATGCGGACTGCGCCGCGGGGGCCTTCGGCGGAGCCCCTATGGGGCCGCGAAGCGCTGTACTGGGCGGGGGAGACGCATGCGGACTGCGCCACGGGGGCCTTCGGTGGCGCTCCCTATGGGGCCACGACGCGCTGTGCTGGGTGGGGGGGGGGCGCACGCGGACTGCGCCACGGGGGCCTTCTGTGGAGTTCCCTGCGGGGCCACGAAGCGCGGTACTGGGTGGGGGGGACGCATGCGGACTGCGCAACGGGAGCCTTCGGTGGAGTTCCCTATGGGGCCACGACGCGCTGCACTGGGCGGGGGAGACGCATGCGGACTGCGCCAGGGGGACCTTTGGTGGAGCTCCCAATGGGACCACGAAGCGCTGTATTGGGTGGGGGAGAAGCATGCGGACTGCGCCACGGGGGCCTTCGGTGGAGCCCCATATGGGGCCAGGACACGCTGTACTGGGTGGGGGAACCGCATGCGGACTGCGTCACGGGGACCTTCGGTGGCGCTCGCCGTGGGGCCACGAAACGCTGCACGGGGGGTGGCGATGCTGATGTTGAGGATGATGATGACGACGATGATGACGATGCTGATGATGGTGATGTTGATAATGATGATAATGATGATGATGATGATGATGATGATGATGATGATGATGATGATGATGATGAGAGGAGGGGAGGAGGAGGAGGGAGGAGGAGGAGGAGACGCGGGGACCGTCTCTTCAAAACGAGGACCCTTCAACAAGGCAGGTTGGTTGGGAAAAAACATATAGACAACAAAAAAGAAAGAGGGAGAGAAATAGAGAGAGAGAGAGAGGAAGCATGGTGAGAGGGAGGGAGAAAGAGAAAAAAAACACACACACACACATTCGCCTGACGGAGGACCCAACCATATGCAGGTGTGAGTACCGCAGTTGTGATTCACTTTTTCGGTGGTGATCCTTATGAGGCAACGAACCGTGCTAGGGGTGTGCCGAAATGAGTGGCGTGGTACGCAGCGCGAGCGAAAAAGGATTGATCTGAGTACGTCGGGATACTGAGCGCGGGTGAATGTGAGCGCGAGTGCGTCTGACTGCGAATGACTCTGCGTGCGAGCGAGTCTACGTGCATGAATGCGAGTATGACAAAGCATGGTGCAATTGTATATGCATGTCAATAGTTTGATAACGACTGCCTCTGAGTACTCGTGACGCTGGGCGTGGCCGCCGCAAGGAGCTTCCCCGGGACTCCCCGACGGCATCGCCCGCGCGCCGCGACGCCAATGTCGGCGCGCCCCCCTGCGAGGATCGCGCCCGCTCCCTTCCTTTCTTTTACGCCCCTTTTGCCTGCGCACTCAAAAGTCCAAGGCTGCGGGCGCAGCGCAGCGCGGAGTCCCCACGACGCGCGCAGGTCGCCCTGGAGGGGTCCCAGCGACGCGCGCGGGTCGTCCGCTGCGCGGAGCAAAGAGACCTAGCTGGCTTGCTGATAGCGGGCAAGGCTCTTGCTGGTGTGCAGGGCGACGACGGGCGAGCGAGGCGCGGATTTCCGGCGGCCTCCGACGGAGGTGTCCTGGGTGGGGGAGACGCATGCGGACTGCGCTTATGGGGCCACGAAGCGTTGTATTGGGTGGGGAACCGCATGCGGACTGCGCCGCGGGGACCTCCGGCGGAGCTCCCTATGGGGCCACGAAACGCTGTGTTGGGTGAAAGAAACGCATGCGGACTGCGCCGCGGGGACCTTCGGTGGGGCCCCATATGGGGCCACGAAACGCCATGCTGGGTGAGTGAGACGCATGCGGACTGCGCCACGGGGACCTCCGGTGGAGCCCCTATGGGGCCACGAAACGTTGTACTGGGCGGGGGAACCGCATGCGGACTGCGCCACGGGGGCGTTCGGTGGCGCTCCGATGGGCCACGAAACGCTTTACTGCGCCACGGGGACCTTTGGTGGAGCTCCATATGGGGCCACGAAACGCTGTATTGGGCGGGGGGGACGCATGCGGACTGCGCCACGGGGACTTCCGGTGGAACCCTTCATGGGGCCACGAACCGTTGAACTGGGTGGGGGAGACGCATGCGGATTGCGCCACCGCGACCTTCGGTGGCGCTCCCTTTGGGGCCACGAAGCGCTGTACTGGGTGAGGGAGACGCATGCGTATTGCGCCACGGGGACCTTCGGTGGAGCCCCTATGGGGCCACGAAGCGCTGCAGTGGGTGGGGAGACGCATGCGGACTGCGCCGCGGGGGCGTCCGGTGGATCTCCCTTTGGGGCCGCGAAGCGCTGTACTGGGTGAGGGAGACGCATGCGGACTGCGCCACGGTGGCCTTCGGTGGAGCTCGTATGAAGCCACGAAGCGTTGTACGGGGTGGATGATGATGACGGCGAGTATGACGATGATGATGATGATGATGATGATGATGATGATGTTGATGATGATGATGATGGTGGTGATGATGATTATGATGATGATGCTGAGAGGAGGGGAGGGGGGAGGAGGAAGGAGGAGGACACGCGGGGACCGTCTCTTCAAAACGAGGACCCAACAACGCAGGTTGGTTGCAACGCAGGTTGGTTGGGAACAAAAACGCCATTTTAACCTCCAGCCCCGCGGTGGTCCGACATGCGCCCCGCGGCGTGGAGTGGAGGAACGCCCACTGTAGCCCTGCCAGCGGATGTGGAGAGGGGACGAGGAAGAGGAGAAGGGAAAAGTAGTACGAGGAAAAGGAAGGAGTAGCCTGTGAAAGAGGAGGAAGAGGGGGAGCAGGAGGGGGAGGAGGAGGGGAGCAGGAGGGGGAGGAGGAGGAAGAGGAGGAGGAGGAGGAGGAGGAGGAGGAGGAGGAGGAGGAAGAGGAGGCGGAGGAGGAGAGGAGGAGGAGGAGGAGGAGGAGGAGGAGGAGGAGGAGGAGGAGGGAAAGGAGGAGGAGGAGGAGGGGGGGGGAGGAGGAGGGATAATTGGAGAAGGGGGAATAGGAGGATGAGAGGGATTCAGGAGAAGGAGGAGAAGGAGGAGGAGGAGGAGGAGCAAGAGGAGGAGGAGGAGGAGGAGGAGGAGAGGGGAAGCGGAGGAGGAGGAGGAAAAGGGAGGAGGAAAAGGGAGGAAGAGGGAGGAGGAGGAGGAGGAGGAGGAGGAGGAGAAGGAGGAGGAAGAGGGAGGGTGAGGAGGAGGAGCAGGAGGAAGAGGAGGAGGATGAGGACGGCCTGGACCCCCCCCAAGGTGGTGCACTTCCCGGAGCTGGTCACGCTGCACCTGCGGTGGTCGCACTTCGAGCAGCAGGCCTTGGCCCCCGCCCTCGCGCCTCGTCGGAGGCGCTCCCTCGAGGGTGGTCCGGTCGTCCCGATGCGCCGACGGAGGCCCCAGGCATGAGCAGAAGTAGTGTTAGGTCAGGCAGTCTCTACCGGAGGGAGACCCAAGAATAGCCCCAAAAACTGTATGGGGACGATTTGTTGTTTGTATGTTTTGAGGTGTAAGCAGAAATCGCCCAACAACCGCCTGTAGGGGCGTATGCCCGAGCTATAAGTAGTGAAACACCCAACGAGAGGGATAGAGAGAGAGAGAGACGGAGAGAAGCTGCGTGTACGGCCGCCGACGGCAACCGCGTCGATGCCGGCAGTGCGGCGAACGCTGCCGAAGCTTAAGTCGGGCTTGTCTTTCTGAAGGAGGAATATTCAAATATAGTGAGCAAATAGCCAGGAGGGACAGAAACACACAGACACAATTAGTCGTCGACTCCAAGGAACATATCGGAAAATATGGGAAGTGGGGGGGGGAAGACGAAAACCCAGAAAATATGGAAGATAGGGGGAATTATCTTATTTGTGTGTATTTATTTGTGTGTCCTGGGGCCCCTTCAAATAGTCAGGGAACGATGTTCTACTATGTCCTTGGTGGGGGGGGACATGCCCGACCTAAGCCGAAGCTCGGGTCGCCGACTCGGACACAGGAAGGAGGAGGACGTGAGTCTGCCCCCGGCTCCTCTGAGAGAGATGGGCATTGACGACCGAAGCTTCGGGCACCGGGGGCCCTCGCGGGTCACCACGGATCAGGAGGGATAATTTTTTTTCTTGGGAAGTATTTAGTGAATTTCATTGCCGTGCAATAGTGATGAGTGTTTAGTCGTCGTTGTGTCTGTTTTCGTCGCTTCCGGGGGCCGTCTTCGGGCCCCTGGGACCGTCAGAAGCGGACCCAGGGTTATGATGCTCCGACCTACTTCAGTTCTGATCGCTGGGAAGAATTTCGAGCACCAAGAAAGTACCGAAACGGGAGGGTCTTCGCGTGTCGGGCCCTGCGAGGCGATACTCGTTCGACATTGCTTCGATACTTTTTCTGGAGGCTCGCCATGATTTCTGCGGTGTGCTCCGGAAGTACGATTGGAGCAACGTCAGCCCTGGATGAAAAATTGCCCTCGGGGAAGTCCCATGGGCGATACTTCGGCACGACCTGCCGAATCGGCATTTCTGTTCCAGGGGGACCTGCGGCTCCGCCTCGGCCCGCTGCGCGGAGGTGGGCCAAGCCACGCGTTCCAGACCATCGCCAGGTCGTGGAGAGGCAGGTCGGCGGCGCGCAGCAGGGCGCCACTGCGAACCCTACGGCCCCAACTTGCCCCGATTTGCCCGAAGGCCCCAAGCCAATCCACCCACGCCCCAATTTGCCACTACGAACCCCAAGGCCCCAATTTGCCCCAATTTGCCCGAAGTTGCCGCTACCAACCCAACCCGAAGGCCCCAATTTGCCTTCCATTCCCAGTGAGGGGGCCTCCCGGACAAAAAGGAACACACAGATGGAGCCCGTACGCCCCCCCACACGACATGTTGGTTCTCGGGTTGGGTCGGGGTGGCATGGGTAGTCAGGGTAGTCGAGGAGGAGGAAGAGGAGGAGGGGGAGAAGGAGGAGGAGGAGGAGGAGGAGGAGGAGGAGGAGGAGGAGGAGAGAGGAGGAGGAGGAGAGGAGGAGGAGGAGGAGGAGGAGGAGGAGGAGGAGGAGGAGGAGGAGGAGGAAGAGGAGGAGGAGGAGGAGGAGGAGAAGAGGAGGAGGAGGAGAAGGGGTAGTCAGGGTCTGTAAGCTTGGTTGTTCGAGCTTGTTCTGGACGGGGCTGGGTCTGGCCCCGTCCAGAACGAGCTCCGGCGTCCCGACGACCATAAAAATCCGTTCAGAGCATTCCGAATTTGTCGTCGTCCAGGAGACGATAAATCCGTTCAGTGCCTGTCAGAGCGTTCCGCAACGCTCTGGGATGGCCACGGCGCGGCGCACGAGACATCCTCCCAGGAGGGGGAGAAAAACGAGGAGGAGGAGGAGGAGGAGGAGGACGAGGAGGGGGAGGGGGAGGAGGAGGAGGAGGAGGAGGAGGAGGAGGAGGGGGAGGAGGAGGAGGAGGAGGAGGAGGAGGAGGAGGAGGAGGAGGAGGAGGAGGAGGAGGAGGAGGAGGAGGAGGAGTGGGAGGAGGGGGAGGAGGATGAGCCCCCTGGCTGGCCAGAGGGGCACTCTGCTGCGACGCCGCCCCCCAGCACAGACGGCCTGAGCGCCGCCCGTCGTAGGTCCTTGCATCACAACGGGCGTGTTTGACCCTCTGCTTCGACCTCTCTCAGAAGGGAAACATACACACAGACAGAATTCATCGTCGATCCCCCAGAAAATATGGAAGAATATCGGAAGTGGGGGGGAAGACAAAAAATCAAAAAAATATCTGAAAATATTTGAACATATGGAGAATCCGGTTATTTGTGTGTAATAATTTGTGTGTGTGCCAGTGCCCCTTCTCTTTCCGAACGAGTCTCGACTTATCCTCACTCGATTTCGTCTTCGTCCTGCCCTCGTCTTATTGTCTGCTGTGGACCCCTCGGGAGGGCTGCGCGGGCGCCTCCAGAGCCCCGCGGTCGCATTCGTGGGCGCGGCCTCCAGAGCCCCCTGGCATCGCTCGGACGTGTGCCTCTTAACTCGCCGAGGACCACCGAGGGGAATATGTGGCAGGCCTAGAGGTTGACACCGACGCCAGCATCGGCGCTTTGCCTCCACCGAAGGAAGAAGATCCCGATCTCGGTGACGGTGGTAAGATGCTGGCTTCCAAGGTGACCGAAATATTACCACCAACACCGAGTTGTGGGTTCATCTCCCCCCTGTGGAGGCACCCCCCTGTGGTGGTGTTGGTGCCCGTTCCCAGGCCTCCAAATCTAGGACCACCTTGCGACAAAAATCAGCGCACGAGGCCGACAAACGTGCAAGGGGCATATGGGCGCCCGAGCGATGGCGAGGAGAGGCCGGCTCTGGGCCTGCATGTTTTTTGTGTCTGCGCGTCTGCACGGTCTGCGGGCGCTCCGGAGGTCCCTGGCCTTCTCCCACCGTTCCCTCCCTCAGGCCCTCCTTCGGCCTCCTGGATGGGATCGGAGCGGAGCGGGTCGGAGGATCGCGCCGCATCGCTGACGCATCGGCGACGCGGCTCGATGCGGATCCCGATCTTCTCCACGCCGCCGTCGCCGATGCGTCGCCTGCGTCGGCGATGCATGGCGGATGCATCTCCGTTGCATCGGCGATGCACTGGCGATGCGGCGCGATCCTCCGACCCCATCTACTCGGACCCCGTCTAGGAGGCCTCTACCCTCGACCCCCCCTTCGCACCCCCCTTAACTCAGGACGGACAAAAACACACGGACACAGATCATCGCCGATCCCAAGAAGAAGAGATGGGGAGAGATGGGAAGCGGGGGGGAAGACAGAAGTCAAGAAGCATCTGAGAAGCTGCGGGGAATCCTGCGATGTGTGAGTGTGTATTTTGTGGGGTGTCCCTGGGCCCCCCTCTATCGGGTGGTGACCACACCGCGTGATGAGTCAGTCGGGAGTCGGTGTCGCCGCACGGTTTCTCGGACCGTTCTCCGAGGACGTCTCGGGCGATTGAGGCTTCCGAGGTCCCAAGACCGTGCGGTGACGGACAGCGTGGTAAGGTCTCTTGGGATTTCGACATCACCACACGGTGTGTCACCACACCCTTCTTGGGTCCCTGAACTCCTCATCGTCTTCGGCCTTTGTGCTTGACTCGTTCATCAGCAATCCTGCCGTAGTTTGACAGCAGCTCGAATCCACTGGGGCGACGCTCGCACGGCGATGCTCAGACACAAGGCCGACGTGAACTCGGCGAGAACCCGACCCAGACATGCGATGTCTTGTTACCTAACAGCGAAGATTGATAGGTTTCTAGTAGGCTCAAAAGAAAGCATCATGACGCCCCAGGGGGGTCTGGGCAGATGCCGGACGGGTGCCGGGGAGAATCCGCGGAAGTCGTTTTAAGCAAACAGTTACACATTTCGTGGTCTTCGAGGTCCCAGAACTCATCCGGGCATGATTTTTGAATGACCCGAACAACTGTAGGCCACTTCGTGGTCTTCGAGTCCCAGAACTCCATTTCGGGCATGATTTTCAATGCACGGAGCCAAACTGTAGCCACTCCTCGTCCGTCTTCGATCCCAGAATCACTCCTGGCATGATTTGAATGCCGGAGCAACTGGAGGCGCACTCGGGTCTTCGAGTCCCAGAAACTCCATTCCCGGAGCCACCTGTTCAGAAGATGAGGCGGCTGATGCTGAGGCTGAGGCAGGATGAGGGTGAGGCAGGCGTGAGGCTGAGGCCGGATGCTGCTGGCAGACTGAGGCTGAGGCTGAAACAGGCGAGCTGAGGCCGAGGGCAGGATGAGGCTGAGGCTGAGCATTGCTGATGCTGAGAGGCTGAGGCTGAGGTGAGGCTGAGGCTGTATTAGGCTGAGGACTGAGCAGCCTGAGGCTGAGGCCGAGGCTGAAGACTGACTGAGTCTGAGGCTGAAGCAGGCTGAGGCTGAGGCTGAGGCAGGCTGAGGCTGAGGCAGGCTGAGGCTGAGGCTGAGGCAGGCTGAGGCTGAGGCTGTGACTGGGACTGCCGTTGCCACTGCGACTGTCATCGCGAATGCGACTACGACTGCGAGAACAGCAGAATTCTACAACTGGATTCTCATCTGAATCTTAAGGGGAATGCTTCCAGATATGCTCCTACACATCGCTGTTAGGTTGCTTTGCCGGGATAATTGTTTTACCTAACAGCGAAGACTGATAGGTTTCTAGTATAGTCAAAAGAGAGCATCTTGACGCCCCAGGGGGGTCTGGGCAGATGCCGGACGGGTGCCGGGGAGAATCCGCGGAAGTCGTTTTAAGCAAACAGTTACACATTTCGTGGTCTTCGAGGTCCCAGAACTCCATTCCTGGGCATGATTTTGAATGCCCGGAGCCAACTGTAGGCCACTTCGTGGTCTTCGAGTTC